AACTTCCCGAGTTGTGACCTTGTACATCACAGCGTGTCTTGATCACACCAATGTCGGCGCAATGGCCAACGCCCGGACGGAGAATCGCAAAACTAGGTGGTATGTGACGTTGCAAAGGGAGCCGCCGGATTCGGAGGGGACTTCCTTCGGGCCTCCTGCGCAAATGAAGACTGAGGAGGACTGAGGGCAGCAGTGCAATCGCTTCCAGTCAGAGAGGTGCCGCGCAGTCTTCCTCAGGCAAGTGCTGAACGCGCTAGGAAGCAAACTCACTCGCACGCCCACAAATGCACACACACAGAAATATTACACTGTCACAATCAAGCATTGACAAAGACAAATACACATGAACAACACTGCAACAAAAACAAACAAAGACGCATACAAGCAAGCAAGCAAGCAAGAAAGAAAGACATGAAGCAAGCAAGCAAGCAAAGAGAAGGAAGGAAGGAAGGAAGGAAGGAAGGAAGGAAGGAAGGAAGGAAGGAAGGAAGGAAGGAAGGAAGGAAGGAAGGAAGGGAAGGAAGGAAGGAAGGAAGGAAGGAAGGAAGGAAGGAAGGAAGGAAGGAAGGAAGGAAGGAAGGAAGGAAGGAAGGAAGGAAGGAAGGAAGGATGCGAGGATGCAAGGAAGCCAGCAAGCCAGCAATCAACCAGCCAAGCAAGCAAGCAAGCCAACAAGCAAACAAACAAACAAACAAACAAACGAATAAAGAAGCAAGGGAAAGGTGGACAAGGTGGGATATTCCACTATCCACAAGACCCTGCTACCTCTTGGGCTTCGGCAGCGCAATCTGCGCTGAGCGCATGCGGCCTCAGGGTTCAGAGCGGGGGCAACAAATCGCACATTTGCTGCATAGATGCCAAATAGCGCGAACTGCGTTTGAGTGTCAAAACAGAAGCCGCTTGACAAGCGCGAAAGTCGCCTCATCCCCTTCCCAGGATCTTCTAACCCCAAACCCCCCCGACCCCATGTCGCGCGGCCAAAATCCCTGCTCCAGCTGCCACCAGTCCGCCTGAAGCAAGCCTGGAAGCAGCCGCGGGACGTCAGATCCCTCGGCTTCGGCAAACTCCTGATCCAGCAAACGATCAAACTTCCCATCTAGATCCGGTCAAATCCCTCTAGAGACCGCTCAACTTCCTCCTCTCGAGGCTGGTCCAACTCTGGTCGAATCCCTCTAGAAACCGGCAAAATCCCCTTAAAGCCGGTCAAATTCCCTTCCCACCAAACCCCCCTAGAAACTGGCAAAATCCACCCCCCACAAAAAAGTCAAATTCCCTAGAAGTTTGGACCTGCGCTTGGCCCGCCATTCTGTAGCTCTCTGCGGCTCCAGGTGGAAGCACCCACTCTAGCTTGGAAACCAGCTCACGCATTTCGGCGCCGACTCACTCACTTCAAAAACAACCTTCAAGGCAAACTAAAGCACCTGGCTGGACACCTCAAATAGTTTGCACAAAGCCAAGCTAAGCCTTGCACTCACGAAGCGAGAGATGTACTCTGTCCTGGAAGTCACCTGCCTGCTCTGCGCGCTCTGAAGCGTGACATGGCCCCCAATTTCCGCTATGGACCATCCCAGCTGTGACAGAAACTCCAATAAGTCCTTCCACTAAGCCTGACACTGTAAAAACAAATCTACGGAGGTGACGGCTCAAAGTCTCCCATGACCTGCCTTTGCTTCACAGGGCTCTCCTTCGCTGAAGGACTGCCCTGGCAGGTGCCCTGGCAAGAGTAAAGAACGTTCACTTTCACACTGTGCACCATACACTCAACAAATATTCAAGCGTCATGTCTTCAGAGGTGGCACCCCTCACACGCTTCGCAAGGAAAGATTGCATTTTGTTTGCGCTAACACAACTTCTCTGCATTGGGACTGGCTTGGCTGGGTTCAATTCAGTCCGCCTCATCTCCATCTGTAGCATCAGCTTGTGCTTCCTTCAGCCGCAGGTAACCAAGCGACCGTCTCTGAGTCCACACTTTAACCTATGGGCAAGAATGCTTGGAACGGTTGATGCCTTTCAAATCTGTAGTTCTTGGAAGTTGCCAATCGGCTGCGGTGTCTCCCTTCCAAAAACACCTGACAAAACATGCTTCGGTCTTCTGCCTCTCCGGTTCGCATGTTGCCTGGCATGACGCTTGCGCCTTTGAAATGAAACATCCACGCGCCCAGGATAGGCACACCATGTTTGGCCCCGCCGTTGCCCGCCAGGACAAAACTTGTTTAAGTGGTTGCTGCTTCCAAACCCTGCGTTGCCTCTGCGTCAGGAGGATCAGGTGCCCGGCGACGCGGACTGCTGGGGGCCGAATTTGTGCAAGGGCCTGAGTAACTCTCGCTGGCAAACATATGTGCTAGAAAGCCTATGCTGATGTTGTCCTTTGCGTTGAACGGCTTGCTTCACCAGCATGCCAGGTTGTCTTGATGAATCTGGGCTCGACATAGGAATTTCTGCAAAACAAATGTTGGCTCAAAAAATAAGCTTTCTGGAAAGCCGTGTGGTAATACTATTGGAAGCTGCACCTGGAACAAGAACGTCCGTGCGCATGCCGGGGGTCTAACACAACAAGAGTTGAATCACCTCTAGAATCTGAGAAACATCTCACCCGAGATGCCCTGCTGGCTTCGGCTTCTTCGACCTGCACGGGCGTGCTGCACAGAATATGTAGTTGCTGCAACCTGAGCTCAAAATTAATGTACCTCTTGAGCTTTGGAGATGCTACCACATCAGGATCGTCGCCATTGGGTCACCTAACTACGTGTACATGCAAGGACAGGCCTCAGACTCGGGGTCGTCTCGGCGTCGCCCCAACCGAGCTGGGAAGGATGATGCCTGAGCATCCACCGATTCTGCAGCAAGGATCCCACTTTCAGACCTCAACAACTTGTTCGAAATCGAATGAGTCGAGCCCTTGGTCGCTGTGAAATAGCCCACACACACACACGCGCCAACATCATGTCCGCCCTGAGGAGACTACGCCCTTGGAATGATCAGGAGAAGTTTCAAAAGTATTGAGTGCCTTGGAGCAAACATTTGGAGCCTGTGAGGAATTTGCGGAAATGATGGGCAACCTATGGGCAACCCATAACATTGCGAGGAACACCTATGAGTAGCCTGTCCAGAGGCTTGACAAATACCAAGCTTGCATCAAGTAGGCTCTTGCTGGGCTAAGACGGGCGATGCGGAGCGCTTCTACTAGGCGTCTGCTTGCCAAGCGGGGCACCAGTCGAATTTTCTTGTCTTTGACCATCTGTCAGTGCCGCGCCCAATCAGCCCTGACCAAAAAGGAGGGCATGCTATCTACTTATTATGTGTTCACAAAGTCTATCTTGCACCCTCCTGATTTGGCACATCGCCAGATATTGGGAGACAGCGCTGGAGGATTACTCAACTGTTTCCCACTTCCCCGGGCATAATGATGAAAAATCCTCTATCCTTCCTGGGTTGCAGCATATTGGCAAACACAGATCAAACGGGTTTTCTATTTTAATTTTGTACCAAGCAGGCCACCTGCAAAGGCAAACCATACACTCTTCATGCTCGATCCTGCCTCTCTGAGTTTGGGAAGTGCTCGTGGCTTCTCCTCGGCGTCCAAGGCACCAACTCGGCAATGAACATAGTGCCACCATTGGCACGGCTAACACCTCGAACCGACTCATGCATTGGCCAAGGAAGCTACCAGCCGCACCTTGGACTCCAGGTATTCCTTCAGGCTTGTGTCTTGGCACTGCTCCAGCAAGTAGCTCTTAGCTTTGTGGGCACGCCATTCACCTCAGGTCAATGTTAGGATGAATGAGTGGGAAGGGTCCGTTCCCTAAATGGCATGGTACAGGTCTCCGCAGGTGCAAAGCCGTAATCCATATACGCCAAGCCGACGGAGGTTGGTAAATGCATGTTTGGCATGCATACAGTACCATCTGTGATAACAGTAAGCTCGTAAGCCTCTCACGAAGGCCATGATTACTACAACTTTGATCCCAGGAAGCAACTGCCTAGTGATGCCATGCAAAAACAGGTGACACCGCACATGATTCTTGGCGAAGAAGCATTTGTCAAGTTGGTGAGAACATGGTTTATTTGGGCCAGAGAGTATACGTCTTAATTGGGGATCCGTCGTAGCACAAGCGGCATGGAAAGTGTAGTGAAAGTTTTCTCCCGATGGACCTTCATGGGAACACTCGATCATGGCAAAGGATTCGCACCGCTCCCAACTGGGTCGATCCTCGCTTCTATACACCTGGGCTGCTGACGCTTGAGCTGCTCACGCTCTCGCTTCACTGACTTGGCCCGCTGGTACTCCTGGCAAGGAAAGGAGCAGGGCACCCACCGCAAGCAGTTTGGTCATGCTCTGAAGTTGTGACACAAAGTCATTGCAAAGAGAAGCAGCTTGCTCGGAAACGGAACTGTGGTGCCAGCCAAACGCGGGCTGTCTCTGCGACTGCAAATGCAAAGCCTCGCTCCTGTAAGCGTTGAATAGCTTCCTGCTGCCGTCGCTCAATGTCCAGGTTGCACTTGAGCTGAGCAGGGATTGCCGCATTCTTTGCTTCTTGACCTCTAAGTTTTCGCAAATGCCAAGCATCTCACTCACCTCTCACGACGATTGCTGTATCGCCAGCTTTCTGATCCGTTTGTGAGCTGGTTGCAGAGAATCACGACTCCATTTTCAATGTGGCAAGCGAGCGCTCAACGCCCAAATGCTAAAGAAGGCATGTAGGGTTTCACCATCCACGGTTAAAACACGTTTACCGTTTACCCCAATGGCCTTGGGAAATATTGTGGGTCCACCAGTTGTTGGAAGTTCAACGAGTTCCCACAACTCCCTCACAATTTGATCACTAGACTACTGGATATTGTGACCAAACCCAACATAAATGAGTCTACCCAAACACATGCAAATAACCTCGCCTATGGTGGGAGTGGGGACTGTCTCTTAGTGGTGTGGCCATTAATGCTTTGCCTACCAGAGTTCAAGGGCATGCTGCACAAGGGGAACTCCGCGAGGACATTTTTTATGCTCCTGTTGGCGCCAAAGCAGTTACTCTGTGAAAAGTGACGAAGTTTTCGGTGTGCCACATCTGGTTCTTGCTTGCTCCATCCTCGTCGCGTACTCGCCCGTAGAGCACGTCCTGTGCCACTCCGCGCATCATCGTGCAGAACTGATCCTTCTCCACCCCCTGGCAGAATTTGCACGCCTCATCGCAATGCCAGTTCAGTGCAATTCGGCAAGCGTCCCGTTCACAGTGACATCATCCACGCTTGGACTCTGCAAGTCCTGCAGCGAACGTGACAAGTGGCAAGGCAGCTGCAGGCTGTGGAGTGGCTTGTAGCTAGTCACGGGGAACTGTTTGTTTTCTCACCCGGATAAACCTCTTCTTTCCATTTGTGGCACCACTCCTGGCCCACCTCTGGCTGCGCCTTGAAGACACTCCGGATGCGTCGTCGCTCCGTACAGAGAGTGAGAGAAGGTCCTTGACTCGGCATTTGAACAAGAGACATCACTTGCAAGAAAACGCCAGTATCTCGATCTTTGGCCAAGGAAAAGGCTGTTGCATCGACCGATTCCTGCGCAACACCCTGCCTGGACTCGGGCTTCCCGCATCGGCTACATCGGCTTCCTCTGTCGCCGCTGCTGCAGGTCGGCCACGCTGGCTGGCGTAGGACACCGTGGCCCTGGCAGGATACCCAAACAGATGCTTCCTGTAGGAGACATAAGGGCCTCAATAACCAAAGACCCAGCCAGCCTTGAGCCTTGAGGCCATGTTTGTACGTACTTTAAAAGTGAGAAACGGCTGCTATCGTCTGCCTCTGCCGCCTTCCAGATTCTTTTCTCTTGCACATCTTGAGCCCCGGCAAGACCTTTTGAGCATGACTAAGAACACGTCCACTCTGTGCGATCATCCTAAGAAACACAGATGACATGCTCCCAAACGATGCAAGTCCCACGCATCTCTGAGCCTGACAGGTTGCTGCGCATAGCCGGAACGTCGGAAGTTTGGTGGCTCCTCAGGCACGAACCTGCATGTGAAAGCGCAATCAGAGCACAGAATATAGAATGCTGATCAAGAGTATCTGAGGTTCTATCATCAAAGACCCATATGAATGGTTTTGGATTCTGTCCAACATTTCTCACTGATCCCCTCGAATGTTCCATTATTCTACCTCAAGCTCGTTTCTGCGTTCATTTCGTCATAGTGAGCTTCATACTCTCGGATTCCCAGCAAACATGGTGGCACTGTCTTCGGACTTTTTGCTTTCTGAGCTTAGCAACTAACAATGCCGAGCTATCGTGTCCAAGCTTCACAAACACGGCTCTGGCACTTTACAAAATGGAAAGTGTATTTATTCTAGGGGCAAAGGTCAGCCGAGCTATATAAAGAGCAGAACAACATGTTTTTGTGTCCATTGAGTTTGCTATTGCGTGAACCAACACCCACTCATGAAGCATATACATATGTATATATATATATGTATATATATATATATATATATGTGTAGCTTAAGTTTAAGCCAGCTGCGTGGCAATCTCCTAGAAAAGACTAATTACGTCTTGATGTGCCTGAAACATGGCCACAAAGCTGCTGCAATTCGGCTGGATTGCGAAACCCCTGCTGCCCTGCCCATGAGCCTGCGGCGCGCAAGATACGAGGAGGTTTTGCGTGTCCGATGCGAGCCCTCTGTGTCCAGGCCGCCAGTCACGTCCCCAACTTCAGTGTCCTCAGGCCCCTCCTTGGCCTCGCCGCGCGTCTCTGAATCCTGGAATTCCGTCTCAGCCGTCGCAGCCACGACCTCAGCCTCCGCATCGCCAGTTTGCGCATTTCCGCGCCTTTTGGGCCATGGCTTTGGGCCCCGCATCGCTCATGGACGTTTGAGCAGCTTCAAAGGAGAATGGGAGAATGCCAGCAAATGCATGCTAGCAGCATGCCTCAGAAAGCTGCCCCGACGTCATCACTCGAGTACTTTATGCTAACCTAACAGACCATGGACTTGCCGATGGATCCAGATTCAAGGCCTCGAGATCTTGTGTTGCTTTGCACATGGCAGCACTGTCCCCTGCCTTCCAGAGACGGCGCTCCTCTGCCGAAGAAGTCCTGAGCTATGGAGCACTTCTGGCGCCGACATGTGGAGACCCGTCAGCTTGACAGTGGAGAGCGGTAAAGTGCACACACAACTTCTCTAGGAACCCGTGCTCATCAGGTGGCAAGGCGGGAAGATCTGCTGGCTCCGGATCTTCAACTCGGCTTGAATGCTGCTTATGGATTCTCATTATTGCCAGCTTCAATCCTTGACTCAACACATTACTTGATGATGTTAGGCGGAAAACATTGAACGTTTCAGAAATGTAAGCGTGGTGGCCTTGCCCTCTGAAGCCATGTGTGAGCGGTGCCAGAAACCTGTTGACTCTTGGTTCTACCTGCTGCCCCCACGAAACCTTCCTCAGGTCTTTCGCGGGGCAGCCTTCAAGGGTCTAGCGCGCAAAGCTCACTTTGACGGCTCCAGCTCGCAAAGCACAACTTTGCAGTACAAGTGTAGAACGCGAAGTATCCCCAAACTAGAGCTTCGTTGAAGCATCAAATTATAGAGCTTCCGTGGAGCTTGCGCGGCGAGCTGACTCGAACATTTCTTAAAGTGCTTTCGGGACCTTTGTGCCGCCTCTCAAAGGGAATTCAATTTAAAGGTTGATTTTGTTTACAACCTTCAAATTTCATGGTCTTCCTCCGTGTGCGTGGGGATGCTCAAAATGGCTGTCAACCATCCCGTTGAGCGGACCGCCCTCAATTCTCGCTGGCATCCCACTGTGCATCCTGGTGGGCAGCTGTGGTAATGAGCTGGGGATTCAGAATCAAGGCGCCTGAAAACATCCCTCTCGCAGGCTTTCGCCTTCCTTTCGCGGCCCCCAGTTTGCGTTTCGCAGGGCCTCTGGAAAAACTCATGTTCGAGCTATTGTTTTCTACTCTGACGATGATCACTTTCGTTCTGGTCAAAGGTACCTTGCCGCCAACAGCAAGAAACCAAAAAATGTAGTTGGTCGTTCTCCGTATTCGTTGTATTTGCAGTCCTTTCGCGTTCCATTCGCCGGCCTTTCGCGATGCAGAACTTTCCTTTCGCGGTAGCACTTCAGGACCACCCTCTATCGTCATGTAAGACTTGCGATCTAGAATGTCCCCCAGCTGAAGAAACACCAGGGGCGCCAGACCTGTGCGAGAGAGGATGCGCTTGCGCAGTGAGCTCTCACGCTTTCTTTGGCGCTGCTCCTCTTTTCGCAATTGCTCCTGCGCCACATATCCGCCAAAACGCATGCCAAACGTTGGTGCTTGCTTTGCAACAAACCCAGTGTACCCATTTGATTTGTTCTCAGGTCCTCCTTCTCTCTGTTCTTCGCACTGAGCTCTCGGATAAGGTCCATGTGTCTGGCCTGCAACTCCAGACAATGCCAGAAGCAGCACATGTAATACAATGCTGAATGGATGCATGGATGTCTGCAGTCAGAGTAAGCTTCACGTGTCACAGGCAGCCTACAACAAAGGACGATTAAAGCGGACATCCAAGGCTGCTGCACTCATTCTTTGTACCAACTTTCGCACCTTCCTTGGTGTGCCCACCATGGCCGACTCACAACGTCTCGTCCACCCTCAGCACTGCACTCATCATTGGAGGTTGTGGTCCTCAGTGCTGGTGAATCCAGGGTCACCTGGCCAGGCACAGGAATCTGCGTCAAGAAAGGAAGCATACAGGCTAAGCACAGCCAAGACCCCCTAATATGATGTCAGCTAATATTGCATGTTGAGTTCCGGTGAAAACTACATACGGGCAAATTAATTTATTTTGTTAGGTGGTGTTGCAGTGACAATTTGTGGACAAACGTACTCTTTGACGTGCGGTTTATGAGGCTCTGACTATGCAGAGCAGAGTAACAGCAAATAATGTCGTCTGGCGCTAAATCTGATTCACGCAATTTCCTGTCGTTGGAGTGTGTGCATTTGAAAGCACGCTCAACAACTACTACTATTTCCCTTTGAGAACAATGACATACACAATGTGCGCCTCTGGCGAGTCTGTCTCCACCGTCGTGGCTGCGATGTTCGAGACCTGCACCCGTTTCTCTCTGCCTAACTCTCGCTTGCAAATGTACAAACCCTATCATGCTAACCTCTTGCCGGCTAAACGGCTCAGAAAAATGTGAAAAATATGGGCCACTTCCACGCCGCAGTTTGCACATGTTCCGCTGCTTGTGTTGCAGCTCAGTCATTGAGTCAGTCGCTGACAAATGTTTGTGCATGCGACTTCTGCCGCTCATGTTGCTTCTGCTGGGGTTGGTCATTGCCTGCCGCTCTGAATGCTGTTTCTCATTCTAATTGAGTCGGTGTCCTCTGT